GGACCCCCGTGACTCGAATCGCTTACGCTACCGCACTACTAATTATTTATTTTATTCCATTTCTTACATATCATCTATGAAATACGAGGCAAAATAAGTAGCAATTTATTTGACCTTATTATTTTTATAACAAGTCCATAACTCCAAGTTTGGTCTCCCTTTTTCATACAAATGAAATTTGTCATAAGACAGTGAAAATGTAATTATAACATCATAACCTCTAATGTTGTTAACGGATGAGTATGAGTGATGATAGTTTTTATTGTCCCAAATACTATTAAGAACATAAGATAGATCATATTGATGGATAATGCATTTGTTTCCTGTATAATTGATTGTGAGTTCACTGGAAATCAAAGATTCAAAATCAGGTATTACCAAATCAGTTACCTTGTCAGTTTTAACCTACAAGAAATATATTTGAGTGGATTTTTCAGATCTTAGCATTTAATTAATTCCTATTACTTCAGAATCCCCAGAAAATGAAATTTTAGTTTCTCTATGAATGCTTGTACCAAACCGTTCATTACGTATTGATTATGAACTTTCAAGATCCCATATTTAGAGAAACAATTAAGTGCATTAGATCCAATAAATCATGGCAACATATTTTCCATTGTTTGAGATTTAAATAGCTGCCACCATAAGACCCTTTTTTTCCTATTCATTAATTGGGACTACTAATACTTTACCTTCAAGAAAAAGATTTATCTCATCTTTTCTGTTGCTTTATTTTCCTCCCATTGTCTGATTTAATTTGTGATTGAGAATTTAAGATGATTACATCCGACAATATCAGAGATCTCAACGTTTATCAATTATCTTTTGTAATATTATGGTTAATCTTAGATTTATAAGATTATCAACATAAGATCACGAAATATAAGGTCTAAGAAAAATTTAATTGATTATACGATAAGAAATAATGAAAAATGACATTTTTTTAATACAATTATGAGTTTATATTTGATTGATACAGATGATAATGGCATAATGTTCCAAGAAAACTGATTAGTAATTTTGGTAAATTTCTTAATAGCCTATCTTAATAAGTTCTATTTACTCTTCAATCATAGTGAAGAAATTCTTATGGCTAACCAACCCATAAATTACATTTATCTATTATGACTCAATTTTCTCAAACTCTTCTATAAACAATAATTTATTAGCTTGCATCTGGCAACCTTATGTCAATCTCAAAAAGCGTTATTTATCTAATCTTTATCGAATTATGGCAACTAATTGAAAATAGCTGAGCCTATACTCATTTTATCAATTTGATCAAAGATTATGAATAGAAAAACTAATAGTTATTTATTCAATATTAAATAATTGTAATTTTGATACTAAACTTAGTATTCTGATTATTAATTTGAATTTTGAATTTATTAACTCAAAGTATTACCTCTTTTTAGCCAAATGATTTTGCAATTCCATTTGAATACTCTCTTTTGTATATTATTTTACACTGACCTAGCCAAGAATCGTTAAATTTTTCATCTAATTCAATCCATTAACCAAATTTTCTGCCCTACTCATCATAGCAACCACCTCCACTTATTTTTATTTCAAATATAATTACATCACATTATATTAATATGTAATATCCCATCTTCCTTACTTAATTTCATTAGAATAAATGCCTGAATATGTGACTACACAATTGCTTAAAATATTAACAAATAAATTAAACTTATTAAAATTTTCATGTAAATCAATCCATTATCCATTCTTTTTTCCTCCTTAATTATAATCACCTCCTCCACTTAATTATTTTATTTATTTTTTTTTTACATCACTTATTCTTCATTCAAAATATCCCATCTTCCTGATTTTATTCCTAACTGATATTCACCTGTAAAAGTTATTAAACAAACTCTTAACGAACTAGAGCAAATAAATACTTATTATAATTTTCAGCCAACTCAATCCATTTACCAGTCTTAATTTCATCTTGATTATATAAACCTCCTCCTCTGAAATATTTAATTATCTTACATAGCTTTCTCATCATATATAGTATCCCATATTCCTACTTTCAATCCTTTATAATATCCACCTCTAAATTTTACCTACATCCAACTTTTAAATTATTATGATTATCTTAGTACTTCCAGAATTATTCATGTATATCAATCCAATTTCCTTTTTTCTAACCATTTTTATCATATAAACCTCCTCCACTAATAATTTGAATACCAAACTTACATTTCTGTAAATTAATTGGCTTAATTCCATCTATACAGTGTTTACCATTGCCCAATTTTCCTTCCACCTTAATACATTCCTACATAAATAACTTAGGATTGACTGAAGTACTTAGAGACATAACATTACCTATAAAAGTTATCCATCAATTCAATCCATTTTCCTGTCTTTACTCCATCATTGTTATAATCTCCTCCACCACTTTTGCAAATAGGCTAAAATATTTTACATTCTTTAATTTTCAAAGAGGATATCCCACTTTCCTTATTTCTATCCATCTTCATATAATCCATTATATTTTCCAATAAGATTACTAATGTTAAGGTATTATATCAGATTAAACATACATTCCGTAATTTGAAGGTAGCTCATCCCACTTTCCATGCTTTTTTCCTTTTTCATTATACTCTCCTCCTCCACTGATTTATAAGGGTGAGAAATTTACACAATTTGATATTCCGTTTATGAATGCTCTCTATACATAGCAATCCATTAATCGTATTTTTATCCGTATCTATATTAGCCAACATAAATGACTTAAGAAAAGCTTATGGATAAAGATTACTTTATACTCACTAAATTTTGCTTGATGTTCAATCCATTTTCCATTTTTTATGCCTTATTAATAGTAACATCCACCTCCACTAATAGAATTGAGAATTTAAATACATTAATTTATTGTTGAAAATAGTATAAAATATTAAAAATTTTTTATAATGATACTATTATACTATGTGAGTGGTTTGACTATGTATGAGTGTTGGGACTTTAAGACAAATTTTGAGTTTGTTTGTTATATTTACTTTGTTGTGTTTGGACTTGTGTTAGTACT